TTCCTTCCCCCCCCCTCCAGTGCCAGCTTCTATGTAATATTTTTAGGGGTTCAAATGCTGTTGTTCCTCTAGAGGTGACATGGAAAGGGCATTAAGAGAGGTCGTGACTTACACCTAGCTTTGGCCTTCTGAGTTGACAGTTGTCTCTGTCTCAATTGGCTTCTCTCTAAAATAAAGATAATAAGATAGGGATAGAGCCTGCCCTGTACAATAACAAATAGTTGCCTGTGGGGTTTGGCAGACCTGGGTTCAAATTCCAGCTCTGTCATTTACTACCTATGGGCCTTGGTCAAGTTATTTAACTCTCAGAACCTCAGTTCTCTCACATAACCTGCATAAGGTAAAGAATTCAATAAGAGTGATACATGTGAACTTCAGAGTTCAGGGTCTAGCCCAGAGTAAAAATTCAAGAAATAGGAGTTATTATTCAGGGGAATGTTATCTTGAGTCAGAGGAAATTATGGACATGGAGAATTTGTAAGATTAAGTGCTCACTTCAGCAGCATATGTAGTAAAATTGAAATGATACACAGAGAAGATTAGCATAGTTCCTGCTCAAGGATGATGTGCAAATTTGTGAAGCGTTCCATATTAAAGAAGAAGAAAAAGATTTGGAAGCTTAAAAGTGCAACATAAACATCATGGGTGATTTTATTTTAGTGTTTGGTTCCAGGGATTGAACTTGGGAGCACTCAACCACTGAGCCACATCCCCAGCCCTATTTTGTATTTTATCAGACAAAGTCTCACTGAATTGCTATGCGCCTCAACATTACTGAGGCTGTCTTTGAACCTGCAGCCCTCCTGTTTTCAGCCTTCTTAAGTACTAGGGTCACAGGCCTGCACCATTGTGCCTGGCATGATTTTATTTTTGAATCTTTTCAGGACATGGATTCTTTTTTTCAGGGAGAGGGTACTGGGAATTGAACTCCTGGGTACTCAACTATTGAGCCATATCCCCAATCCTATTTTTGTATTTTACTTAGAGACAGGGTCTCACTAAGTTGCTTAGTGCCTTGCCATTGCTCAGGCTGGCTGTGAACCTTCAATCCTCCTGTCTCAGCCTCCCAAGCCGCTGGGATTACAAGTGTTTGCCACCGTGTCTGGCAGGACATGGATTCTTACACCCTCAGAGGACTAGTCCTGAGAAAAGCCATCTGGATAAGATACTGTTCTGTTTACCTTTTGACATTTTGGGGCCTGAAGTTCCTTTTTCAGCTTTTGCCTGGCTTTTTTGGGGGGTACTCTAAGCAGTTGTAGGGATAGCATATTCAGCAAGTAGTCCAGAATCTGAGGGGAAGTTTTGGTGGTTAAAGGTGTGGGTGGGCCTTAATTTAGCTTTGGTCTTTTGTAGTCCTTGCTGATCTCTAGGTAATAGTGACTATTGGAGATGTTAAAATGGCTCCAGTGTAGCCCCTATCCTGGCCAAGTTTTTGCTTGATTCCAGGACTCAGAGCTCATATAGGCATAGTTTGGTAGCACTGGCATAGACAATGAAATAGTAGCTGCTAATGGTTACTGAGCCCAATTACAGGCCCAATTGTCTGCCAAATGCTTTGTATACTTTCACATTTAAACCTTAACAACCCTGGGAGGTGTTATTATTGTTATTATTTTTTTATGATGAAATTAAGGCTTCTAAAGTAACTTGCTTAGGGTCATGATTCTGGTAAGTACATTTGGATCCTGTACTATCTAACGGTCTAGGTTTTTTTTTATTGTTCTAAGTAGTCTTTGCTCTAGCTGTGCATCATAGCCACTGAGGAAACTCATTAAAATTCCTGCTCCTGTGCTCTGATTCTATAGTGTGAGGTCAACCTGACCCTCCAGTGTTTTGTTTTGTTTTTCCAAATTTATTGAGGTAAAATTTACATAAAATAAAATACAGCCATGTATAGTTTGAAAACCATAGTAGTTGTATACAGTCTAATTATTATTATTTAAAAATATTGTTTTTAGTTGTAGTTGGACACAATACCTTTATTTTATTTGTTTTTATGTGGTGCTGAGGATCTAACCCAGCACCTCACACATGCTAGGCAAGCACTCTATTGCTGAGCCACAATCCCAGCCCTTATACAGTCTAATTATTAAGACAATCAAGATATGGAACATTTTCATAACCCTAAAAAGTTTCTTTGTGCCTTTTGATCCCATGACGCCTACCCTTTATTTTTAAAAATTTATTAATGTTTTTAATGTACTAGGGATTGAACCCAAAATGTCTATACTTCTATCTAGATGAGCTGATGTTTCTGATGCACAGATGGATATAGGACCACTATACTGTGTTATGGTGACTGCAAATATGAGGATTTCAAGTCCTGGGAAAGGTAGATAAAAGTGGGGGGAAAAAAAAGAAAAAGGCAATTAAAAGGAAGAATGATTGGTCTAGCTGTCTTTTGATGAACTATCTGTATACCGGTATAGCATACAGATGGAGTATGGAAGAGAGAACTTTCCAGACTAAACCTGGCTTAAAAGTTTTTTCTTCTATCAATATGATTTTTTTCCCAAGCAACACATGAGCTTAAAGATTTTAAACACAGTTGATGTACAGGGGGAGATAAATCACTTTGGGGTGGAGATCTGCGGTCACTAACTATACTTGGCAAACTGTGAAGCCTGGAAGGAACTTTGGGCTTAGATACTGCTGGGCAGTCCAAGGATGGGGCCTTCTCCAGGCAGACATTACTTTGTTTCCTTTGACTTTCTTCTGTAAGAATTCAACAGCAATACTCCTTAATCTAAAGACTAGTCAGAAAAATTAGCCTAGAGGCAATAGATTCAGGCTTTGTCCCAGAGAACGTTTGGGTAATCAGGTAGAAAATGAGAAATGGAGCTTTGAAACCAGAGAGGATTTACAACAGGAGTCCAGAGATTTGTGTAAGGAGTCCAGAGACTTTTGATTCTGTACTTGGTTTTGCTAGATGATCTATCTTTTCTAGATGGCTTTCTCTGATTGTTCTCTGGATAGTGAGTGGTGAATAAAGTGTTCAATGGGTAGGTAGCAATATGATTTTTACACACATTATAGTGATTTTGTTTAGCATGGCAAAAGTAGATTGCAAAGGAAATTCTGTAGGATCTTTACACTGGCTCTTAATAGTTGTATTTTAAAACCTGAATATGCTCAGCCCTTAAGTATTTCCTTTTCTGAACTTTTTTCTTTATCTGGTTTGTTAGATGTGGCATTTCCTCTTTCCTGCATGATGAAGATGTGAATGAGGATATGTACAAAGGACAAGTCATCTCATTCTTATGTTCCTCTTATGAATCACCCAGTTGTTTTCCTGGTGGATGCCTGTGCTCTGGCACGGATTCTGGGATTCAGTTTCCTTGTTTGTGATGTTCAGCTTTTTGTGGTCCCTGTTATTGACCTCAAGAGGAAACATGGAGCAGAGCTACAAGGCTGATTAGAGGAGGAAGGGGCATAAAGGGACATAAAGGGAGAAAGATATGAGGGGTATTGTGGAAAGAAAACACAAAGCTATAGTGCTATAGAGTGTAGATAAGATACCCAGGCCTCTTCTCACTTGAGGAAAAGTGAGTTGGGGGATGGCCCCATCTAAGAGGACACAGATATCAAGGGGGTTAGTCTTGGAGAATGACATCCTAGCTGGTTTGAGTTCAGGAGGCTGTGTAGAGTTTACGTGGTTTTTTTTTTTTTTTTTTTTTTTTTTTGCTTTGTTTTGTTTTGTTTTTAAGTCTTTGTCAACTCAACTCAATGTTCTTCCCTCCATTCTGAGATTTCAGGGCTTTGTAACAGTGAAAATCAGAATAAGAATAATAGATATACTGAGCATCTCTCTTGCTTTTATATGCATCATGCTATATCTTCCCTGAAGCTCCATACAAAACTTGAGTCCATTAAATATTTTTCAAATAATCACACAGATTACACTGAGAAAAAAAATGGGATGTTAAAAACCTTTAGAATGAAGTGATTTTAGAGCTAAAAAGGCATTAGATACTAGTGTGATCCCTTGTTTGAACAAGGAACTGAGCATGGTGTCCAGATCTGGAGATTAGAGGACATAAGAGATTTAGTGGAAGACTTGCTAGTTTGAGCCACAAGTTAAATAAATTTCAGTATAACAGACTTTAGGAAGATGTTTTAGGGTTGTACTGTGAAATCGGTGGTCTTTCAGCATGGCCTAGGGCAATAAGCCTGTGTAATATTCATTGTGGTGGCTTTGCTGCAATAGACTTTGGCCTCTTGCAGTAAAATAGGGTTTGTTTTCATTTTCACCTATTTCTACCACCTCTCTTTTTCTAATTCTATATTCTTTTCCTCTTGTGTTCTTTTCAGTTTATCAAGTTCTTTCCCCTTATTTCTCTCCATCTGTCAGACTCAGGGCTACTGTAGATTTTGGGAGGAGGAATTGGAACCTGAACTGTAACCCACAGTGAATTTCCCCAGGTGGATAAACTCCACTACAGTCCACAGAGGGGCCTCCTCATTCCAGCAATCTGGCTAGGCTGACAGACTCATAGGCTATGAGGAGGGGTGGGGGAAGGAGGGGTCAATATTTCTTGGGCTAGTGAAGAACTGCTGGATCCTTTGCAGCATAGGCAGAGGAGGCAGGAGCCCCTGAGTGGGCTAGCTGCTTGAGCTGGGGATGCCTGGGCAGATGCAGAAGCAGCTGGAAAGGTGGCACTGCACTTGGTCGCAGAAGCTGCCGCTGTTCCTAGGAGACAGAGAAGCAGCAAGCCTGCGGGGGGAGGGGGAGCAAGTGGGTTGCTGCTTTTAGCAGCTGAAAGGACTGCAGGGAGCTCTGGGTAAGACATTTTCTACTGCTGTTGCTTCTGCGGTAGAAACTGCCGCGAGTAAGTCAGAGGAAGGAGGATCGAGAGGGAGGAGGCTTTAGTTGCAGCCATGCTGAATCACTGTTGCTGATCAGATCTCCCGCTGGGCTGCTGGGAGAACCGGGAACTAAGCTAGGATCGGGAACTAAGCTAGGATCGCTGTGTATACGCACTGTTCAGCAGCTACCACCCCTGCTGGGCCTCGCACAATGGAGGGTGAAAGGTATGTATGTATAAGTGCCTGTTTTGTATGTGTAAGTAAATGTATGCTTGTGGTATAGCCACTAGCTTTTGTGTTTGCATTGGTTAGGCGGGGTTGGAAAACCTGGCCACTGATGGATCCCAAAGGGCTTTAGAGCAGGGAAGCCCCTTTCTAAACCCACCCCTTACAGAAGCTCCAGAGATGGGATTCCGCAAAGGCAGATCTGGGTTTGCTGGGCACACGAAAAGAAGGGACTTCCTGGCTGGTGTTGAGGAATAGTTTCAGCACTGGGCTGAATCAGGATTACCTTTCTCAGGCTGTTTCAAGGAGGCGTTTCCCTTTCTTGGCGTCTTTCCCGGGGTGTTTCTTTGGTGGGGGGTTTTGATGTCATAGCAGGGCTGCTCTGGCATAGAGCAGTTGGATTTTTTTATACTCATGTGCCCAAATCTTCAGGAAGTATGCAGTGCTGATCTCTTTCCTAAAAAATATGTGTGTGTGTGTGTGTGTGTGTGTGTGTGTGTGTGTGTTTTCAAGGATGGAGAGAAACTCAGTCAGATGACACTTTAGTATTTGGAAGGCAGATAACTGTGGATTTAACCCAGGGGCAATTTACTACTGAGTTAAATCCTCAGCTTTTTTTTTTTTTTTTTTAATTTTTTTTTTCTTAATTTTGAGACAGAGTCTCACTAAGTTGCTGAGGCTGGCCTTGAAATTGTGATCCTCCTGTCTCAGCCTCCGGAGCTCCTGGTATTACAGGCGTATGCTACCATGCCCATCAAGTTTTATCTGTATTAAAAAGTTTATGTGAGACTTTTTATTAAATAGGGATCAAAAGAAGGGATTTAAGTTATTGTGTTGAGCGAAAACTAACCAGGGTTTATTTCCTGGCAGGCACATTCATATAAATTTTTAAATTATTATCTGAGGATCTGATTTTTGCCTTATTAAGGTATTCAGTACAGTGCTGGGGTGGGTCATTCCTCTGTCTGGATTAGAAATGTTAGGACATGTCTTTGTTCTTCGGGTAGGTGCTGGTTGAGAACAGGGCTTACCATTTACCTTGAGGACAGAAGACTTAAGGGAGAGCTCAAGCCATGGCAGTGTACTGCTGAGGGGGATGATGTTGCTCTGAGTTGTAGGTTTGATGCAAACAATAACTGGCTGGTTAAATGAGAACAGTCTCAACTAAGCTCTGTCTGGAGAGCACCTTGATAAACACTTTCCTTTGCATGTGCCTATAATGGGGCAGAGTGATATCATTAAACAACTTTAGACCCTATTAGAACTAGCATGTTAGGCGTCATCTCAACCTCCTGTTTGGGCAGGCTCAGGACTGTACATCTTGATGTTACTCCAACAGGAAGAGTCTGGGAATTTTCAGATCAAAAATGCTGCTAGTGCATCCTCTTTTGCTCTTTGCTACAGGATCTCCTTGTGTCTTCATCAGGACCTTGTTGGTATAATAGCTAGCAGAGGGCAGGGTGATGTTTTGATGGTGTAGAGATTCTGAATCACACCTGTTTGCTTGACCCATGGCCTCTTGGGGCTGAGAGACTGACATGAGACTATCAGCAGTTGATTGGCGCTTTGGGTCACTGACTATGTTCCCGGTTCTGTGTTCAGAAATGTAATGATCCCTTGCACTCCAAGAGCTCTTTGGCACAATGTTCCCTGGTGCTCTCAGCTGGAATAGAACGTCCATGATGTCTGTGGCTTCAGGACACCTGGTTGCAAATGTTCTTTTGCTTTTCTTCTATTAGAGACAGAGAGTAGAAAAGAAATTCAAACCAAGTACTTCCAGTGTCATCAGGTCACTGAGCTCATTGCCTTTTTTCCTACTCCAAGTTTAGCTTACATGCCAAGCATTAAAGTGTTCTGATACCTGGCTTCTCTCTTCATTACCACTACTTATATGCCCAATAAGAATTGAGGAAATGAATTAGTCTTTTTTGTGGTCACCCATTCTGTACATTACTCCATCTAAACCCCAATTTGTGGTTCCCAGGGTTCCTTTTGCTGATTGCCTCTCCCCCCTCACACTAGTTATCTCTTAAGGATGTTTTAGAATTTCACTTTGTTTTGGAAAACCTGAACTTTTCTAGTTCCTGCTGGTGTTCTTAATATCTCTAGGCTGTATCTCACAATTGGGTGCTTTTGTTTCATTTATCTTTTAAGTTCCCAAACTTGGAGATAGGTCTTCAGACCAAGGATGGTACTTTGTATTTTTTATTTTTTTGAATACTACTTATTGACTATCATATCACTGTACAAATAGCAGGTATTGGGCAGTTATTTGTTGGTTAATTGATAACTTTTGTGAGAAAATCTAATAAGTAGAAAGAAAATTATTGAGAAAGATTGAAATCTTTGGCCATAGGTTCATCCTTGGATATCAGCCTTATCTCACCACAGGTAATTGACCTCATGGAATGTTTTGAGGTAGGGGGAGTGCGGAGGGAAATAACCTTGTTTTGTAAGTACCCTGGAAACTGAGGCTACAGAGCTTGAATGACTGGACTAGGATCACATGTCCAACCTCCAGGGACTGAATCCTGAATCTTGCCCTTGTTCCACATTTAACCTGAAGCTTAATTTGGGCTGCTTTTAAGCATAAACAATTTTCAATCAAGAGATTTCTAATGAATAGTAATTTTCTTTCTTGGCCATGAGGGCATGAAATTACCTTCTACCTTGAAAGGCTGTTAATTAAAAGTATAGGCTTTGGAGACATAGACCTTGTAGTGAAACTTCTTTATAATCAGTATGATCTTGAGTGTGTCACATTTTTACAGAATTAATTATTTTTGTTGTTTTTAGATACACATGACAGTAGAGTGTATTTTGACATTATACATACATGGGAGTATAATTTATTCTAATTAGGATCCCATTCTTGTGGTTGTATACACTAGGTTTCCCTGTTGATGTATTCATATATGAACATAGGAAATTTATGCCTGATTTACAGAATTAACTTGTATTTTCTGTGTAAATGGAGTAATAACAGTATCTATACTTCATGGAGTTGTTGTGAATATTAAATATTAAAGTCTGTGCAAAATACCTAGTAAATGTTTCTGGCACTGAATAAATACTCAGTAAAGTTTAGTTGTTGTTATCATTGGTGACCGACTATTGCTGTTTTATCCTATGACTTGCTGCTGGGATACTAACAAGGGCATATTTTAGGGTTAGTTGTTGTTATCATTGGTGACCAACTATTGCTGTGTTTTATCCTATGACTTGCTGCTGGGATACTAACAAGGGCATATTTTAGGGTTTTCTTATATGTATCATCTGAAACAGATTATGTGGGACCATTCTCATGGGAAAGCTAAGGAGAACTTAGCAGGCCATCAGCTTTTTATATAAACTATCTCCTTATAATAAGATACCTCCTGTAGTATGGCATTTCCTCTTTTTTAGGTTTCACCAAGATCTACCTTAACCTTCCCTTTTATAGACACCTTATCTAGAAGCCTTAGTAGTTTGGAATCCTGACCTGGATATTCTCCTTTTCAGGCCAAGATCTTAAGAAGAACTTATGAATTGGTGCTTACTTTTGCTGCATTCCCCAAGCTCTCTAGCTCTCTCCTGGACGTTCTGATGCTAAATATTTCACAGCTTCCTTCTTGGGAGAATCACTGTGGCTTGATCAGTCACAGGAAAGTGACTTTGTGTTTTGTTTTGCAAAGGAAAAGGATCTCTGACTCTTAACTGCTACAGTGATAAATCATGCTTGTGTTGGTGTGTGTGTAGAGGAGATAGAATTGAAAATGGCACTTGTCCTTGCTATTGGGATTTATTTCAGTTCTAGAAATCAACCTTGTGGGTGGATTAAGACAAATTTCCCACTTACATGATTGCAGTTAGATTCATAGAGGCAGAAAATAATATGCTTGTCAGAGACTGAAGAAGGGGAGGAATGGGTATTGTTTAATGGGTATGGTGTTTCACTTTGGAAAGATGAAAAAGTTTTAGAGTTGAATAGTGGTAATGGTTTTATGACAATGTGAATGTAATTAATGCTATTATATAGTGAAAAATGATTTGTAAATTTTATGTTAAATGTATTTTACCACTCACATACCTGCACAGTTTTAGGGACAGACTCTGAAAGACCTGTAAGAGTTTCAGAGAACCACAACTTTTGGAAGAAGCAATTTGAAGAGGAAATCAGTTGTCCATTTTTCTTAAAATTGTGCTCATTTTCTTCATCGGAAGCATTATGATGCTCCAACTTGATAGTGGCACCATGTACCCAGGCTTGTGCCATGAATTTTTATCAGGTGTCCTCAGAGGACAGTTCTTCATGGCTGGTTCCTACCAGGGAGAGCCTACCCCTGGACCTCGGGAGCTTCTGAACTGAAGAAGGTACTTGTCTATTTATCCTTGATCCAAGAAAAACAAAGTAAATAATATATTTGGAGGAGACATGACTTTGAAAGTCAGTGCTCCCTAAATGCTGAGTTCTGCAATGCCTGTAGAACTCTGGCTAGACCCAGGAAAGAGCAAGTGTTGAGCAACTTTTTCTATTCCCACTGGCAAGTCACTTAATGTCTCTTTACCCCTCCCACTTTTAAAAGTCACAAGTAGAAACTTTTGTAGAAATTTTTGGGCATGACTGCTTTCTGAAGCAGATGTCTGTACATTTCAATGATAATCGGAACCAAATTTTCCATTTTGAAAATACTTGTTTTGTAAAATATGGTTTTCAACTGTAAAAACAAGAAACCTGTTGGGTGTTGAGAATTTTTCTTGCTAAGTTTTAGATTGTTAGGACAGACCCAGACAAGAAATTTTGTGTAAGTTTTCTAAAGCAAGTGCTCTACCTTATGAAATTTGCTATTATAGAATTGACCTAATTTTTTTCAATATCTAGATAAACCCTAAAACTAGGTTAAAATGAATAGACCATTAATAAACTATATAAAAAATAACTCAAACATACTTTGTCCTTAGATTTTTTTTCTTGTTAAATAAGTTCAGTGGCTCTCAGGTTAGAAATCTGTAGCTTTTCA